ATAACAACTTTTCTATAACGAAAAGTTGTCGATAACAACTTTTCTAGAACGAAAAGTTGTCGATAACAACTTTTCTAGAACGAAAAGTTGTCGATAACAACTTTTCTAAAATGAAAAGTTGTCGATAACAACTTTTCTATAACGAAAAATTGTCGACAACAACTTTTCTATAACGGAAAGTTGTCGATAACAACTTTTCTATAACGGAAAGTTGTCGATAACATCTTTTCTATAACGAAAAGTTGTCGATAACAACTTTTCCATAACGGAAAGTTGTCGATAACAACTTTTCTATGGAGAAAAGTTGTCGATAACAACTTTTCTATGACGAAAAGTTGTCGATAACAACTTTTCTATGACGAAAAGTTGTCGATAACAACTTTTCTATGACGAAAAGTTGTCGATAACAACTTTTCTATGACGAAAAGTTGTCGATAACAACTTTTCTATGACGAAAAGACAACTTTTCTCCATAGAAATATTACTATCGATAACTGTTCTCCATAGAAACGTTTTTATGAATAACTTTTCTTCATAGAAAAGTTGTTATCGACAACTTTTCTCCATAGAAAAGTTGTTATCGACAACTTCGCTCCATAGAAAAGTTGTTATCGACAACTTCGCTCCATAGAAAAGTTGTTATCGACAACTTCGCTCCATAGAAAAGTTGTTATCGACAACTTCGCTCCATAGAAAAGTTGTTATCGACTACTTTTCTCCATAGAACAGTTGATATCGACAACTTTTCTCCATAGATCAGTTGTTATCGACAACTTTTCTCCATAGAACAGTTGTTATCGACATCTTTTCTCCATAGAACAGTTGTTATCGACAACTTTTCTCTATAGAACAGTTGTTATCGACAACTTTTCTTTACAGATAAGATCTTATCGATAACTTCTCTCCATAGAAAAGTTTTTATCGATAACATTTCTTTACAGATAAGTTGTTATCGACAACTTTTCTCCATAGAAAAGTTGTTATCGACAACTTTGCCCCATAGAAAAGTTGTTATCGACAACTTTGCCCCATAGAAAAGTTGTTATCGACAACTTTGCCCCATAGAAAAGTTGTTATCGACAACTTTGCCCCATAGAAATATTGTTATCAACAAATTTTCTCCTCAGAAAAGTTGTTATCGACAACTTCGCTCCATAGAAAAGTTGTTATCGACAACTTCGCTCCATAGAAAAGTAGTTATCGACAACTTTTCTCCATAGAAAAGTTGTTATCGGCAACTTTTCTCCATAGAAATGCTGTTATCGATATTTTTTCTCAATAGAAAAGTTGTTATCGACAAATTTTCTTTTTAGAAAAGTTGTTATCGACAACATCTCTCCGAAGTAAAGTTGTTATCCTATGGAAAAAAGTTGTCGACACTAAATTTTACCCTCGAATTCAGTTATCGATTTTCGATTGAAAATTATACAACAAAATTAATTGCAGTAATAATCGATTTATTTCAAACATTTTTGGAAAGCGAAATGTTGTCATGGCTAAAAGTGGAAGTGAATGTGCGTAGCTGGCTTCCCTGCCCCCCAGTTGCATAATTTCTACAATCGAACGAAATGTAATGCAATTTTTACCACTTAACAAACCAAACTAACCCTAGATGGCACGCACGGTGGTGGTGGTGGTGATCGGGTGGGGAGAGGTGAGCGAGACTATTACAACAGTCTAACCACACATAAACCTGACCACATGGAAATGAAAGCGAAAAAACCAGATCCGAACTGACCGATATCAGCAAACATTTTAACAGGGCTTAAAAATCGGTTATGTGGCATCGGTTTGTTGCAGTTGTTGCTCCTATTGACCCAACATGGGCCGATGGTAAAGTTGTGAATTTTATGTAATTATTTTGTGCAACAACAACGACAACAACAGCATCCCCAACAACAAAAAGCGCTCCAAGCCAGCCAGCCGGCCGGCCAACCAACCAGTCATCCAGCAAACAAACAAACAAATGGACAGTAAGCCCCATCCTGAAATGGTCAAAGTGTCGGTAACTATGCCATCAGTTCGTCGATCGGTCGGGTAGTTAGTCAGTCGGTCTTTGACCACAAATACCGAAATGGGTGAAGTGGGGGTTTAATTGAGATTATAGAAATTCATCTGTGGTTTGTTTGGGGCTGTTTTTTTTTTTTTTTTTCGAATCCGTTCGTATCGGTATTTTGTCTTTATTGGGAAGTTGTTGTTTTTGTTGTTCCTGTTGTTATTGGTTTGGCTTTATTTTTCAATGAATAGAAGTGGATTTTAATATGGTCAAAATTGCGGAAAATTCCATAAGCTGTTGTATTTACAGCAAATGATTTATGGAGCTTAAACACACAAATACACAGATAGACACACACCAACACACACACACACACACACACATATGCAATGGTTGTTGTACAGATGGTTTCCTGGCATGGATTGGAAGGAACAAACGGATTTGAATTTGTCAATAAAGTTGTAAAATTTAATGCGATTATGATAACACAATAGCAACAAAAAAAAAACAAAATTGGTAGTGGAACAAAGCGGTTATGGAAAAAGCGGTTCATAGGAAAGTTGTTATCGACAACTTTTTTCATAGAAGAGTTGTTATCGGCATCTCTTCTCCATAGAAAAGTTGTTATCGATAACTTTTCAATACAAAAGTTGTAATCGGCTACTTTTCTTCATAGAAAAGTTGTAATCGACAACTTTTCTTCATAGAAAAGTTGTTATCGACAAATTTTCTTCATAGAAAATATGTTATCGACAACTTTTCTCGATAGAAAAGTTGTTATCGACAACTTTTCTTTATAGAAAAATTGTTGTCGACAACTTTTCTTTATAGAAAAGTTGTTATCGACAACTTTTCTTTATAGAAAAGTTGTTATCGACAACTTTTCTTTATAGAAATATTGTTATCGATAACTTTTCTTCATAGAAAGGTTATTATCGCTAACTCTTTTTTGTAAAAAGTTGTCATCGATAACTTTTCTCTATAGAAAATATGTTATCGACAACTTTTCTCGATAGAGAAGTTGTTATCGATAACTTTTCTTCACAGAAAAGTTGTTATCGACAACTTTTCTTCATAGAAAAGTTGTTACCGACAACTTTTCTTCATAGAAAAGTTGTTATCGACAACTTTTCTTCACAGAAAAGTTGTTATCGACAACTTTCCTTCATAGAAAAGTTGTTATCGACAACTTTTCTTCATAGAAAAGTTGTTATCGACAACTTTTCTTCATAGAAAAGTTGTTATCGACAACTTTTCTCCTCAACTTTCCTTCATAGAAAAATTGTTATCGACAACTTTTCTTCATAGAAAAATTGTTATCGACAACTTTTCTTCATAGAAAAATTGTTATCGACAACATTTCTTCATAAAAAAGTTGTTATCGACAACTTTTCTTCATAGAAAAGTAGTTATCGACAACTTTTCTTCATAGAAAAGTTGTTATCGACAACTTTTCTTTATAGAACAGTTGCTATCGATAACTTTTCTTCACAGAAAAGCTGTTATCGACAACTTTTCTTCATGGAAAAGTTGTTATCGACAACTTTTCTTCATGGGAAAGTTGTTATCGACAACTTTTCTTTATAGAAAAGTTGTTATCCACAACTTTTCTTCATAGAAAAGTTGTTATCGACAACTTTTCTTCATAGAAAAGTTATTATCGACAACTTTTCTTTATAGAAAAGTTATTATCGACAACTTTTCTTCATAGAAAAGTTGTTATCCACAACTTTTCTTCATAGAAAAGTTGTTATCGACAACTTTTCTTCATAGAAAAGTTGTTATCGACAACTTTTCTTCATAGAAAAGTTGTTATCGACAACTTTTCTTCACAGAAAAGTTGTTATCGACAACTTTCCTTCATAGAAAAGTTGTTATCGACAACTTTCTTTCATAGAAAAGTTGTTATCGACAACTTTCTTCATAGAAAAGTTGTTATCGACAACTTTTCTCCACAGAAAAGGTGTTATCGATAGCTTTTATCCACAGAAAAGGTGTTACCGATAACTTTTATCCACAGAAAATTTGTTATCGATAACTTTTATCCACAGAAAATTTGTTATCGACAACTTGTCTTTTAAGAAGAGTTGTTATCGGCACATTTTCTCTATTAATATATTGTTATCGACAAATTTTCCAAAAAGGAAAATTGTTATCGACAACTTTAAAAAAAGTTAATATTGACAACTTTCCTTCATAGAAAAATTGTTATCGACAACTTTTCTTCATAGAAAAGTTGTTATCGACAACTTTTCTTCATAGAAAAGTTGTTATCGACAACTTTTCTTCATAGAAAAGTTGTTATCGACAACTTTTCTTCACAGAAAAGTTGTTATCGACAACTTTTCTTCATAGAAAAGTTGTTATCGACAACTTTTCTCCACACAAAAGGTGCTATCGATAACTTTTATCCACAGAAAAGGTGCTATCGATAACATTTATCCACAGAAAATTTGTTGTCGATAACTTCTCTCTACAGAAAAGTTGTTATCGAAAAATGTTCTTCATAGAAAAGTTATTATCGTTCATGAAATGTATTTTTGCAGAATTATCGATAACTTTTCTTTATAGAAATATTGTTATCGATAACTTTTCTTCATAGAAAGGTTATTATCGCTAACTCTTGTTTGTAGAAAGTTGTTATCGATAATTTTTCTTTATAGAAAAGTTGCTATCGATAACTTTTCTTTAAAGAGAAGTTGTCGATAACAACTTTTCTATGAAGAAAATGTATACGTAATAACTTTCTACAAAGAAAAGTGGTCGATAACAACTTTGCTTTGCTTATTGACAATTTGTCTTCATGCATTTTCGACATTTCGTTTTTGGAAATAAAATTTCTCCATATAAATGATATCGATTTTTTGATAAAATCTAGGTTGAAACTCAAAATTTTCCAACAGGCATCAGAGATTTCTTAGTTAATTCAATATGTTAATAAAACATATTAATAATACTATTTCCCCTTTCCCTCTTCCCCTTTTCTTGTCTTTTTTATTTTCAGAACCTTGTCCCATCGCCACAAAAATTACGAAAACGTCGTATAATTATCGTGTGCGGCATTCTTATTGCGATTCTAGTGGCTATTGGCATCTATTTTATTGTGACAGCAGGCAGTGATGACTCGACAAATGGCGACGGCAATGGTGGTGGTTCCGGCTCATCCAATGGCATCCATTTGGAGGATATATTACAGGGTAAGCTGTTGTCGCGTTCCTTCAATGGCAGCTGGTCGAATGGACCCAATGTGATCTACAAGGAAAATCATGTAAGTTGTTGTCATCATGCTGTGACCCATCTAAAAGATTTCAATCAAAATGCTACCATGAAGAATTTTCAAAATTTGCAGGCCATTGTGGAGCTGAATGTCAAGACGAAAACGAAAACCACGCTGATGATGGATGAGGCTGTAAGTAGAGAAATTGGCTAGAGTTCTTTGGGAGGGCGGAGAGGATTATGAGGCTCTAATTAACAAAAAATTAAGGGAGAAAGAGATGTGATTTGTTTTCTTTAGAAATTTATTGGAGTGAATGAGAATTATATTACGTGGTTTACACGGGAGTCCAGGAACTGTATTTAAATATTCACATCTCTTTTTCTCAAACTAATTCCTTACCCGTCTTAATTCATCCCTCTATTTCTCTCTCTCTCTCTCGCCTTTTTAGCAACAATATGTGCTCTTTGAGAAATCAGCCGATGGCACTCTCCTGCTTCTGGCCAAGAACTACAAGAAGAACTTCCGCCACAGTTACGAGGCCGAATACGATATCTACAACATTTCCAGCGGACAAATTCAACCGTTGCTCATCCAGAACCAAGTCCATCCCCTGATTTTGGTCCAATGGGCCCCGGTGGGTAATGCCCTCGTCATTAACTTCCAACGCAACCTCTACTACAAGCCAACCGCCTTCGCCCAAGAAATCGCCCTCACCGACGATACGAATTTGGCCATTCTAAATGGTATACCCGACTGGGTGTACGAAGAGGAGGTATTCGCCTCGAATTCGGCCGTCTGGTTCAGTCCCGACGGCAGCCAACTGGCCTTCATCCAATTCGACGATAGTCCAACGCCTGTCATTAACTTCCCCATCTATGGCGAAGCTGGTGATATCCGTTTCCAATATCCCTACAATCGTTTGGTGGCCTACCCGAAGTCCGGCTCACCAAATCCCCGCGTCAAACTGTTTACATCGGATTTAGCAAGAGCTGCTGGTGGTAATACAGACCACTTGACTGAGATCCCACGGCCCAGTGCTCTGAACACAGAAAGTGATTATATTATCACCGTAGTTGATTGGCTAAATAACACGAATGTGCTGTCGGTGTGGATGAATCGGATACAGAATTCGGCCCATTTGCAGATATTCAATGGGCTGAGGAGGCAGGAGGTAGGTATCACTTGATGTTATTTAAGTTGTAAAGACAAAATACTTGAAAGCACTTTTGGCAAAGAAAAAAAATTACTCAATGGAAAATTTTATTATCGATAACTTGTGGCTACGGAAAAGTTGTTTTCGATAAATTATCTATCTATAAAACCCATCATAGATAACTCTATTCAATAGAAAAAATGTTATCGATAGACTTTCTCTATAGAAAAGTTGTTATCGATAATTTTTCTCCATAGAAAATTTGTTATCGATAACTTTTCACTATAGAATATTTTTTATCGATAACTTTTCTCTATAGAAAAACTGTTTTCGATAACTTTTCACTATAGAAAAATTGTTATCGATAACTTTTCACTATAGAAATGTTGTTATCGATAACTTTTCACTATAGAAAAGTTGTTATCGATAACTTTTCACTATAGAAATGATGTTATCGATAACTTTTCTCCATAGAAATGTTGTTATCGATAACTTTTCTCCATAAAAATGTTGTTATCGATAACTTTTCTCCATAGAAATGTTGTTATCGATAACTTTTCTCCATAGAAATGTTGTTATCGATAACTTTTCTCCATAGAAATGTTGTTATCGATAACTTTTCTCCAAAGAAATGTTGTTATCGATAACTTTTCTCCATAGAAAAAGTGTTATCGATAACTTTTCTCCATAGAAAAAGTGTTATCGACAACTTTTCTCCATAGAAATGTTGTTATCGATAACTTTTCTCCATAGAAAAAGTGTTATCGATAACTTTCCTCTATAGAAAAACTGTTTTCGATAACATTTCACTATAGAAAAGTTGTTATCAATAACTTTTCACTATAGAAAATTTGTTATCGATAACTTTTCACTATAGAAAAGTTGTTATCGATAACTTTTCTCTATAAAAAAGTTGTTATCGATAACTTTTCTCTATGGAAAAACTGTTATCGATAACTTTTCTCTATAAAAAAGTTTTTATCGATAACTTTTCTCTATAAAAATGTTTTTATCGATAACTTTTCTCTATAGAAAAATTTTTATCGATCACTTTTCTCTATAGAAAAACTGTTATCGATAACTTTTCTCTATAGAAAAATTTTTATCGATAACTTTTCTCTATAAAAAAGTTTTTATCGATAACTTTTCTCTATAGAAAACTTGCTATCTGTAACCCTTCGCAATAGAAACCTTGATATCGATAACTTTTTTTTAAGAAAAAGGTATTATCGATCAATTGTATCTATTGAAAAGTTATTATCGATAAATTTTATTTACAAAAATGTTGTTATCGATCATTTTTTCTTTATAAAAATGTTATTGTCGTCAAGTTTTCTTTATAGAAAAAATGTTATCGATAACTTTTCTGAATATTAATGTTATTTTTCTATATCGAAACATCGTTATCGACAACGCATATCTATACAAATGTTGTTATCGACGACTTTCCTCCGTAGAAAGTTGTTATCGATAACTTTTTCTTTATAGAAAAGTTGTTATCGACAATTGTTGTCTATAGGAAAGTTGTTATCGATAATTTTTTCTACATCGAAATGAAGATATCGATTATTTTTTTTCCATTGAAAAGTTGTTATCGACATATTCGCCAAACGAACTGTTATCGAAAATATGTTATCGATTTATTTCTTTTTATTATTATTGAGCACCTTAAGCAAAAGAACTTATCGATTAATTTTATTTAAAGAAAATTTGTTAAAAATTAGTTATCGATAATTTTTCGTTATCGACTAATTTTATTTAAAGAAAATTTATTAAAAATAAGTTATCGATACTTTTTCGTTATAGAAAAACTATTTTTTAAAAAAAAACGTTATCGATAACTTTCCTTCAAAGAAAACATATTCATATTCTTTTTTTTTTTTTCTTCTTCTTTTCTCAGATCTTCAGTTTGGAATCGAAAACCGGTTGGGTCGACTTCTTTGCCGCCCCCTTCAAAAATCGTGATGGTTCTCGCATTGCCCTAATCTTGCCTCAGACCCAGGTTGATGGCGGTGACTATCGTCACTTGTGTCTGCTGGCCACCTCGTCGGGCAGCAACAAACCCGAGGCCATAACCAAGGGTAAATATGTTGTCACCTCCATTCTGCATTGGGACAGCGGGAGCGATGTGATCTTTTATACCGCCAATACTGAACAAAATCCGGAATATTTACACGTCTATGCCATCAGGGCGGCCACGGGACAAACGGCCAAATGTTTGACCTGTAAATTGCATACATCGAATGGTAAGTGGGACGGGGAGGGGTGTGGTGAGGTGATTTTTCGATTAATTTTCTTTGGATTTCAGGTGTGGAACAGACCTATTACAGTGCCGATTTTAATACCGCCAATCAGGTGGTAATCACCTCTATGGGACCAAGCATACCCATTACCTCAGTCTATGAATGGAATTATTCGGGAAGTAAGTTTTGAGTTCCCATTGATTTAGGTCTTTAAGTGTTCAGTTTTTTTGGTCCTTCGAGCTGATTTAATTCCATTACTTCTTCCAGATCAAGTTTCTTTGATCAAATTAATGGATTGGGAACACAATGATAATCTACGACACAAACTGGAGGGTACAGCCATGCCCACAATCGAAATTGAGACGGTGCAAATGTCAAATGGTTTCTCGGCCAAGGTTCTGATGCAGCTACCTCCCAATCTGGATCGCAGCGGCAAAACCAAATATCCCATGTTGGTCGATGTGTATGGTGGCCCAGATTCCTATTCGGTAGGTCAGGGAGTGTGGGGGGCATATTAAAGAGTTTTTGGAATAATTGGCATTCTTCTTCGGCTTCCTCTGCTTTAGGTTGTGAACAAATGGATCCTGGATTGGGGCACCTATCTTTCCTCAAATCAATCTGTGATTTATGTCAAAATTGATGGACGTGGCTCGGGACTGAGAGGAGAAAAACTGTTGCACTCGGTTTACCTTAAATTGGGTACCGTGGAAATTGCCGATCAAATTGAAGTGGCCCAGTAAGGCGGACTAAAAATTCAGTTACTCATCAAATCCAGAGATTTAAATCCTCTCTCTCTCTCTCTTTCCCTCCCTCTTCCAGGTATTTACAAAAAAAACATCGCTTCATTGATGCCGAACACTCTGGCATTTGGGGTTGGAGTTATGGTGGCTATGCGGCTGCTATGGCCTTGGCCAATGATAAAAACAATGTCTTCCGTTGTGCTGCCTCAATTGCCCCCGTCACCGATTGGGCCTACTATGGTAAGTCATACAAACCCCCAACCTAATCCTTTCCAAATTTTCAAACAATACTCACATCTCTCATTTTTTTCAGATTCAATTTACACCGAACGTTACATGAGCCTGCCCACACTCAACGAAATCGGCTATGCCAGTTCCCGTCTCAGCACCAAGGCCACAAATTTGAAGGGCAAGAAATTCCTGCTGGTCCATGGCACCCTGGATGATAATGTCCATTATCAGCAGGCCATGATATTGGCCAAGAATTTGGAGAGACATGATATTCTGTTTAAGCAAATTGTAAGTATTAGGGGTGCGGGGAGGGGAACCTTACTAGAGGCCCACATAAAAATAAGGGACCAAAGAGGTAACTCTATCCTACCTGTGGGTAATTGGATGGAATTTTTTCCGCAGTTTTGAAAATTGAATTTTATCCGCGTTCTACGGATAACATAAAATCCTTATCTGGCTTTTTTCGGATAACATAAAATTCTTATTCGCAATAAATGGATAACCTTAAAATTCTATCCGCAACGCATGGATAAATTTTTCGCGATGCATAGATAACTCAAAACCGTTATCCATTGTTTCGGCTGTCTTGAGACTATCACCTAAACTTTATCCGAGATGCCCGGATAATCCTCAAACTTTATCCACTATACATTGACAGCCTAAAAACATTATCCGCTATGCACGGATAAACCTAGAAAGTTATCCGCGTCTTATATATGAACTACAAACGTTATGCGCGCGATGCACGGATAACCTAAAAACATTATCCGCGACACACGGATGACCAAAAACCGCTAAAAATGTTATCCTCTACTCACGGATAACTTTAAAACGTCATCTACGATGCGCGGATAACACATAAACATTATCCGCTATATATAAAGTTATCTGTGATATGTATGCAACCTAAAATCGTTATCCGCGACCTATGGATAACTTAAAACTGTAAAAAATTCTATCCGCGACTCATGGATAACTTTTAAATGTCACATACGATGCGCGGATAACACATTAGCATTATCCACTATATAGCGATAACCGTAAAAAGTTATCCGCAATACCCAAAATCCTTATCCACGATGCACGAATAACCTAAAACTGTTGTCCGTTGTCCGGAAAGGCCTTAAAATATTAACTGTGTAATTCAAATAACCTAAAAATTGCATCCGCGGCGTGCGGATAATCCTAAAACTGTATCTGCTATGCCAAGAAACGTTATCCGTGATGTTCGGATAACCTAAAACTGTTATCCGTATGCACGGATAACCTAGAAACTTTATCTGGGTCACTTATATAACCTAATCAGGTTATCCGCGACTCACGGATAACCTAAAAACGATATCCGTTGTTTCGAAAGTCCTTAAAATGTTATCTGCATCATTCATATAACCTCAAAATATCCGATTATCCTAAAACTGTATCCGCTATGTACTGGAGGCCTTGAAACGTTATTCACGATGCACGGATAACATAAAACTTTTATCCGCAGATGCACGGATAACCTAAAAACTTTATCCGCGTCACTTATATAACCTAATCAGTTTATCCGCGACTCACGGATAACCTCAAAACGTTATCCGTTGCTTCGAAAATGCTTAAAAATGTATCTGCGCCATTCAAATAACCTCAAAATGTTATCCGCAGTGCGCGGATAATCCTAAAAATTCATCAGCTCTGCCTAAAAATGTTATCCGTGATGTTCGGATAATCTAAAACTTTTATCCGTAATGCACGGATAACCTAAAAATTGTATCCGCGTCACTTATATAACCTAATCAGTTTATCCGCGACTCACGGATAACCTAAATCTGTTATCCGTTGTTACGAATGTCCTTAAAATGTTATCTGCATAATTCAAATAAGCTCAAAATGTTATCCGCGGCGCGCGGATAATCCTAAAACTTTATCAGCTCTGCCTAAAAATGTTATCCATGATGTTCGGATAACCTAAAACTTTTATCCGTAATGCACGGATAAGCTAAAAATTTTATCCGCGTCACTTATATAACCCAATCAGTTTATCCGCGACTCATGGATAACCTAAAACGGTTATCCATTGTTTAGTAACCCCTTAAAATCTTATCTGCGCCATTCAAATGACCTCAAAATGTTATCAGCGGCGCATGGATAATCCTGAAACTGTATCCGCTATGCCAAGAAACGTAATCCATGATGTACGGATAACCTAAAACTTTTATCCGCAGATGCAAGGATAACCTAAAAACTTTATCCGCGTCACTTATATAACCTAATCAGTTTATCCGAGACTCACGGATAACCTAAAAATTTTATCCGCGTCACTTATATAACTTAATCAGTTTATTCGCGGCTCACGGATAACCTAAAAGCCTTATCCGTTGCTTCGAAATTGCTTAAAAATGTTATCTGCGTCATTCAAATAACCTAAAAATTGCATCCGCGGCGTGCGGATAATCCTAAAACTGCATCTGCTATGCCAAGAAACGTTATCCGTGATGTTCGGGTACCTAAAACTTATATCCGTTATGCACGGATAACCTAGAAACTTTATCCGCGTCACTTATATAACCTAATCAGTTTATCCGCGACTCACGGATAACCTAAATCTGATATCCGTTGCTTCGAAATTGCTTAAAAATGTATCTGCGCCATTCAAATGACCTCAAAATGTTATCCGCGGCGTGCGGATTATCCTAAAACTTTATCAGCTCTGCCTAAAAATGTTATCCGTGATGTTCGGGTACCTAAAACTGATATCCGTTATGCACGGATAACCTAATTACTTTATCCACGTCACTTATATAACCTAATCAGTTTATCCGCAACTCACGGATAACCTAAAAACTTTATCCGCGTCACTTATATAACTTAATAATTTTATCCGCGACCCACGGATAACCTAAAAACGTTATCTGTTGCTTCGAAATTGCTTAAAAATGTATCTGCGCCATTCAAATAACTTAAAAATGTTATCCGCGGCGCGTGGATAATCCTAAAACTGTATTCGCTATGCCAAGAAACGTTATCCGTGATGTTCGGGTACCTAAAACTTATATCCGTAGATGCACGGATAACCTAAAAACTTTATCCACGTCACTTATATAACCTAATCAGTTTATCCGCGACTCACGGATAACCTAAAAACGTTATCCGTTGCTTCGAAATTGCTTAAAAATGTATCTGCGCCATTCAAATAACCTCAAAATGTTATCCGCGGCGCGCGGATAATCCTATAACTTTATCCGCTCTGCCCAAAAATGTTATCCATGATGTTCGGATAACCTAAAACTGTTATCCGCTATGCAAGGATAACCTAAAAACTTTATCCACGTCACTTATATAACCTAATCAGTTTATCCGCGACTCACGGATAACCTAAAAACTTTATCCGCGTCACTTATATAACTTAATCAGTTTATTCGCGGCTCACGGATAACCTAAAAGCCTTATCCTAAAACTGTATCTGCTATGCCAAGAAACGTTATCCGTGATGTTCGGGTACCTAGAACCTAAAAACTTTATCCACGTCACTTATATAACCTAATCATTTTATCCGCGACCCACGGATAACCTAAAAACGTTATCCGTTGCTTCGAAATTGCTTAAAAATGTATCTGCGCCATTCAAATGACCTAAAAATGTTATCCGCGGCACGTGGATAATCCCAAAACTTTATCCGCTGTGTATTGAAGGCATGAAAACGTTATCCATGATGTTCGGGTACCTAAAACTTATATCCGTAGATGCACGGATAACTTAAAAACTTTATCCACGTCACTTATATAACCTAGCCACTTTATCCGCAACTCATGGATAACCTAAAAACTCTATCCGCGTCACTTATATAGCCTTAACAGGTTATCCACGATGCACGGATAAGCTTGAACCGTTATCCGTGACACGCGGATAACATAATAACATTATCCGATAACCTTAAAAATCATATGCGCTATGCAGGATAACTCAAATTGCCCTATTTGATGAATGGATAACATAACAATTTTATCCGCTGTTATCCGAATTTTGCAGATAATCTAATAAATGTTAATCGCATTATTTGTATGATCCAAAACCGGTTATCCACTTTATCCGGATAAAGCAAAAGTGTTATCCACGTTATGTGGATAATCTGGAAATTTTATCCACGCTCTGGAAATAATCTTAAAACTTTATCCACATTACGTGGATAAAATGAAAATCTTATCCAGTTTATCCACACTTTACCTCAAAAACCTTATCCGACTTGCGGGGATAACCTTTCGACTGTATTTTCGTTATCCGGGCAACCTACAAATATTTTCCATTACATTATTTTCCGGAATTGTTTCAAATTTGGTATTTGAAGTTCGTAATAGATACTACATCCTAAGAGAGAAAATGAGCCATGTAGGTCCATCTCTTCGTATAGCCCTCATATAACGGTACCTCCCGATATTCGGTATTTTGATGATTTTAGCGACATTATTTACCGGAATCGTTTCAAATTTGATATTTGAAGTTCGTAATAGATACTACGGCTTAAGACAAAAAATGGACCATGTAGGTTCTCCTCTTCGTATAGCCCCCATGTAACGGTACCTCCCGATATTCGGTATTTTGATGATTTTAGCGACATTATTTACCGAAATTGTTTCAAATTTGGTATTTGAAGTTCGTAATACATACTACAGCATAAAACAGAAAATGAGAAATGTAGGTTCACGTCTTCGTATAGCCCCCCATATAACGGTACCTCCCGATATTCGGTATTTTGATGATTTTAGCGACATTATTTACCGGAATTATTTGAAATTTGGTATTTGAAGTTCTTAATAGATACTTCAGCCTAAGACAGAAAATGAGAAATGTAGGTTCACGTCTTCGTGTAGCCCCCATATAACGGTACCTCCGGATATTCGGTATTTTGATGATTTTAGCGACATTATTTACCGGAATTGTTTCAAATTTGGTATTTGAAGTTCGTAATACATACTACAGCATAAAACAGAAAATGAGCCCTGAAGGTCCATCTCTTCGTATAGCCCCCATACAACGGTACCCCCCTTATTCCGTATTTTGATGATTTTAGCGACATTATTTACCGAAATTGTTTCAAATGTCGCATTTGAAGTTCGTAATAGATACTACAGCATAAAACAGAAAATGAGCCATGTAGGTCCACCTCTTCGTATAGGCCCCATATAACGGTACCTCCCGATATTCGGTATTTTGATGATTTTAGCGACATTATTTACCGGAATTGTTTCAAATTTCGCATTTGAAGTTCGTAATGGATACTACAGCCTATGACAGAAAATGAGCCATGTACGTCTACCTCTTCGTATTGCCCCCATATAACGGTACCTCCCGATATTTGGTATTTTGATGATTTTAGCGACATTATTTACCGGAATTGTTTCAAATTTGGTATTTGAAGTTCGTAATAGATACTACAACATAAAACAGAAAATGAGCCATGTAGGTCCACCTCTTCGTGTAGCCCCCATATAACGGTACCTCCGGATATTCGGTATTTTGATGATTTTAGCGACATTATTTACCGGAATTGTTTCACATTTGGTATTTAAAGTTCGTAATAGATACTACATCCTAAGACAGAAAATGAGAAGTGTATGTTCACGTCTTCGTATAGCCCCCATATAACGGTACCTCCCGATATTCGGTATTTTGATGATTTTAGCGACATTATTTACCGGAATTATTTGAAATTTGGTATTTGAAGTTCTTAATAGATACTTCAGCCTAAGACAGAAAATGAGAAATGTAGGTTCACGTCTTCGTGTAGCCCCCATATAACGGTACCTCCGGATATTCGGTATTTTGATGATTTTAGCGACATTATTTACCGGAATTATTTGAAATTTGGTATTTGAAGTTCGTAATACATACTACAGCATAAAACAGAAAATGAGCCCTGAAGGTCCATCTCTTCGTATAGCCCCCATACAACGGAACCCCCTTATTCCGTATTTTGATGATTTTAGCGACATTATTTACCGGAATTGTTTCAAATGTCGCATTTGAAGTTCGTAATAGATACTACAGCATAAAACAGAAAATGAGCCATGTAGGTCCACCTCTTCGTATAGGCCCCATATAACGGTACCTCCCGATATTCGGTATTTTGATGATTTTAGCGACATTATTTACCGGAATTGTTTCAAATTTTGTATTTGAAGTTCGTAATGGATACTACAGCCTATGACAGAAAATGAGCCATGTACGTCTACCTCTTCGTATTGCCCCCATATAACGGTACCTCCCGATATTCGGTATTTTGATGATTTTAGCGACATTATTTACCGGAATTGTTTCAAATTTGGTATTTGAAGTTCGTAATAGATACTACATCCTAAGACAGAAAATGAGAAATGTAGGTCCACGTCTTCGTATAGCCCCCATGTAACGGTACCTCCCGATATTCGGTATTTTGATGATTTTAGCGACATTATTTACCGAAATTGTTTCAAATTTGGTATTTGAAGTTCGTAATAGATACTACGGCTTAAGACAGAAAATGGACCATGTAGGTTCACGTCTTCGTACAGCCCCCATATAACGGTACCTTCCGATATTCGGTATTTTGATGATTTTAGCAACATTATCTAGCGGAATTGTTTCAAATTTGGTATTTGAAGTTCGTAATAGATACTACAGCATAAAACAGAAAATGAGCCATGTAGGTCCACCTCTTCGTATAGCCCCCATATAACGGTACCTCCCGATATTCGGTATTTTGATGATTTTAGCGACATTATTTACCGGAATTGTTTCAAATTTCGCATTTGAAGTTCGTAATGGATACTACAGCCTATGACAGAAAATGAGCTATGTACGTCTACCTCTTCGTATTGCCCCCATATAACGGTACCTCCCGATATTTGGTATTTTGATGATTTTAGCGACATTATTTACCGGAATTGTTTCAAATTTGGTATTTGAAGTTCGTAACAGATACTACAACATAAAACAGAAAATGAGCCATGTAGGTCCACCTCTTCGTATAGCCCCCATATAAAGGTACCTCCCGATATTCGGTATTTTGATGATTTTAGCGACATTATTTACCGGAATTGTTTCAAATTTGGTATTTAAAGTTCGTAATAGATACTACATCCTAAGACAGAAAATGAGAAGTGTATGTTCACGTCTTCGTATAGCCCCCATATAACGGTACCTCCCGATATTCGGTATTTTGATGATTTTAACGACATTATTTACCGGAATTGTTTCAAATTTCGCATTTGAAGTTCGTAATAGATACTACAGCATAAAACAGAAAATGAGCCATGTAGGTCCACGCTCTTCGTATAGCCCCCATATAACGGTACCTCCCGATATTCGGTATTTTGATGATTTTAGCGACATTATTTACCGGAATTGTTTCAAATTTGGTATTTGAAGTTCTTAATAGATACTACAGCATAAAACAGAAAATAAGCCATGTAGGTCCACCTCTTCGTATAGCCCCCATATAACGGTACCTCCCGATATTCGGTATTTTGATGATTATTTACCGGAATTGTTTCAAATTTCGCATTTGAAGTTCGTAATGGATACTACAGCCTATGACAGAAAATTGTCTGTGCAGGTCCACTTTTTATAACCCCCATGATACCTCCCTAGATTCGGTATTTTGATGATTTTAGATAGATTTCGATTTTTTTTTAAGTTCCGCATTTGAATATTGTAATAGCTTGATACAAAAGTTGCCTATGCAGATGCACGTCGTCGTATAGACCCTAATATACGGCTACATTCGGTATTTTTAAGATTTTAATAGAATTTTTAACGGATTTTATTTTTTTGAAAAATGTTAAATTTGTACCAAATGGTGGAGGGTATTCAAAGTTCTGCCCAGCCGAACTTATAGCTTTTTTACTTGTTTTTTTTTTTTTTGCTTTGTACTAATAATTCTCCACTTTTTGTCTTCTTTTCTCTCTCTCTCTTCCTTTTCAGAGCTATCCCGATGAAGATCATGCTTTAGCCGGTGTTAGACCTCATTTATATCATTCATTGGATCGTTTCTTTGGCGAATGTTTCGCCCAAAAGCGTATGGTCTATCGAAAATAGACAAATTCCAAAGCGGATACCCAATTTTGCCATTTATAAAAAAAAAAAAAAAAAAAAACAAAAACTAAATTTATCGAAGAGGAGTTAACAGAAAATGAATCGAAATTTATTAAAAAAAATAAATTATAATAACAGCAAACACAAGAACAACAAAAAACAAAACGCAGCTAACAGAAAAAAAACATATTGTACTTATACATACAATATCTATTTAAAAACAAAAAAAATATATATATATATATAATTTATTTATTATATAGCATTTAAAAATTGAAACAAGAAAAAAATTAAAGCCAACTAATTCCAAAATGAAAATAATAACAAAAAAAAATAAATTAATGACAGTTTTCGAGGGGGTGGAGATCGGGGGATAATACAATTGTTTTTTAATTAAATTTTTAAATTAAATTTTTTAAAATTGGAAAAATTTTCAAAATTCAGTCTTTTTTTTTTATTTTTTTGCGGTTTTGGCTTCGATGTTGTGATATGATTGAGGTTCAATTCGGATATTAGCATAGGAGTTTTATAACCAACAAATCAACAGCAAAAATACAGGTATTTTTTCCAAATGTTTTTTAGATTCTTTTTTCAATTTTTTTCCAAAAAAAAAAAATCTAAAGTTATTTCCACATTTCTAAAAGTAGCAGTAGAGGTATTTTTTACAAAAATATTTTTTGTCAAAAAAAAAACTGTTAAAATCTTTTTTCAATTTTTGTTTGAATTCTAAATTTTTTTTCGACATTTCTTCACATTATCTTCCCCTAAAATAGTAGTATAGGTATTTTTTTAATATTTATTTTTTTCTATTTTTATTTTAATTTAAAATTATTTTCAAAAAAAATTAATTTTTTTAAGTTTTTGTTTTTTTTTTTTTTTTTTTTTTTTGAGAGTGAAGGTACTTCTTCCAAAAACTGTTTTCAAACTTCTTAAAAAACATTTTAATATTTTTGTACCCGACTTTAGGACTTTCTTTACATGTTTTTTTTTTCTATTTATTTTTCCTGTTTTTTCTATTTTTTTTAATTTAAAATTATTTTCAAAAAAATCCAATTTTTTTTAACAGTTCTTGTAATTTTTTAGAGAGTGAAAGTACTTTTTCCAAAAAAAAAAAAATTTAATCTTTTTTAAAAATGTACCTTTAAAAAAAATTTTTTTTTTAAATTCTAAATTTTTTCAACTTTTATTTTGCGGTTATTGGTACAGGAATTTTTTGCAAAAGTTTTTTAGATTTTTTTTCAATTTTTTTTTAGAATTTTTTTTCAATTTTTTTTCCAAAAAAAAATCTATTATTTTTTCACATTTATTCTCACTGTTCGCTTTACATAATCTTTCCTAAAAGTAGTGGTAGTAGTATTTTTTCCGAAAATTATTTTTAATCTTTTTTCAAAAAAAAAATTCTAATTTTTTCAACTTTTATTTTGCGGTTTTTGTCTTCTCACTGTTCTTCACATCAACTTTCCTAAAAGTAGTAGTAGAGGTATTTTTTCCAAAAAATTTTTAAAATATTTTTTCAAAAAGCTTTTAACTTTTTTCAAAATTATGTTTTTCATTTTTTAATTCCAAATTGTTTCTACTTTTATTTTGCGTTTTTTGCATCGGGTTTTTTAGCCAAAGAATCAAGAAAAAATAAACAGGTTTTGTTTGTTGTTTTTTTTAAACAATTTTTTTTTCCAAAAAAAAATGTTGAACTTTTTTCAATCTTTTTTTTATTCTAAATTTTTTTTTCTACTTTTATTTTGCGGTTTTTGCTTCGGGTTTTATAATCAACAAATTAACAAGAAAATACTGGTATTTTTCCAAATGATTTTTTTTAAGTTTTTTTTTAAACATTTTTTTCCAAAAAAAAAATATTTTTTTCCATATTTCTTCTCACCGTTCTTCACATCATCTTTCCTAAAAGTAGTAGTTGAGGTATTTTTTGCAGATTTTTTTATTTTTTTTTTTTAAGAAAAAAATATTTTTAATTCCCAAAATTTTTCAACATTTTTTATCATTGTCCTTCACATTTTCTCCCTTTAATCAAGTACTACAGGATTTTATACAATTTTCGTAAAAATACAAATTTTAAAAAATTCCTTTTCTAATAATTTTTTTTAATTCCCTTTCTTATTTTTTTAATTCAAAAATTTGTTCAACATTTTTCCCAGGTTTTTACACAAATTTTGTTTTAAATTCTTCTCTTCTATTTTTTTTAATTTTAAAATTTTTTCTCATTACCCTCACATTTTCTCTCCTTAAACCAGAAGTAAAAGTTTTTATAAAAATATTGTTTTTAAACATTTACAAATAATTTTTTTAACTTTTTTATTTTTTCTTTATTTTTTTTAATTTTTTTTTTCTAAAATATATTTGTGTTTTTAAGAAAGTTCCAACAATTCTTGTCATTTATCGAATCTTGTTTTTCAAGTTATCTCGCCATAAAAGTAGACCTTTGTATGCCTTCCGTTTGATATTTATATCTACTCTCTCATAGTTCTTTGTCTCTCTCTCTCACTATCTCTATCGTTACCATATCTCCCGTACTCTTGAAGCACTAATTAGTCACCGCACAACTTAGCCATCTTTCTTTATATCGTTCTCTCTCTCTCTCTCTCTCGCTACCATGGCTCCCATTATTTTTTCAACATTTCTTGTCATTTTTTGAATCTTCTTTTTCAATTCTCCCCCAAAAATTGGCCTTTGTATGCCTTCAAAGAGATACTTTTATTTACTCTCTCATAGTTCTCTCTCTCTCTTTCTCTCTCTCTCTCTCTCTTGCTACGTCCTTAACATATCTCCCCATATCTCTCTAATTAGTCACCGCACAACTTAGCCATCTTTCTTTATATCGTTCTATCTCTCTCTCTCGCGCTACCATGGCTCCCGTTATTTTTTCAACATTTCTTGTCATTTTTTTAATCTTCTTTTTCAATTCTTCCCCCAAAATTAGACCTTTGTATGCCTTCAATGACATACTTTTTTCTACTCTCTCATAGTTCTTTATCTCTCTCTCTCTCTTGCTACGTCTATACTTAACTATCTCCCGCTCTCTTGAAGCACTAATTAGTCACGGCACAACTCAGTCATCCCTTTCTCTCTCTCTCGCTATCTCTATCGTTACCATATCTCCCGATCTCTTGAGACCGCACAACTTAGCCATCTTTCTCTTAGAATCACTTCTGTATTTTTTGGCTTTCAAATAAATATTTAAAATTTAAAGTTTTCTTAAATGAATTTTTTAAATAACCCTTCTTTACAGGTTCTCAATATGGAGAGGAGATTTTCTGCTTCCAAGGGAATTTAGTGAGAAGGGAGTTATATATATTTTCGAGAAGATAGATTTGTGGTAAAAATGGTTTTAAATCGTATGCCAGATTCTGCAATATTTCTCGAGAATTTTTTAAGGTTGTGTTTAAGAAGGGAGAGGAAAAGGCTCTCTCTCTCCATTTCCAAAAGCCGAAAGCTCTTGTTCATAAGATTTATGAAAATGTTTTTGAAATCGGAAAAATGGGTTTTGGAAAGAGAGCAGGGGTAAGAGTCCTGTTCATCTCTCCAGCTCTCTCTCTCTCTCTTCTACCCAAGAATAAAAGAACATTTTTTGAAAAGAGAGGATAGATGACTTTTATCTCTCACCTATGCATTGGGTTTTGGAAAGAGGACAGAGGTAAGAGTCCTGTACATCTCTCTCCTCTCTTCTACCAATGAATGATTATTTTGTAAAGAGAGCATAGATGACTCTTATCATTCACCTATGCATTGGGGTTTGGAAAGAGATCAGAGGTAAGAGTCCTGTGCATCTCTCTAGCTCTCTCTCTCTCTCTCTTCTATTCTAGCCATGGATGAAAGACAATTTATTTTTGGAAAGAGAGAACAGATGACCCTTGTCCTTCAACTATGCATCCCTCTTGTTTTCTCTCTCTCTCTCGCTATCTCTCAATCTCTCTTTCTTCTTCAATAATTTTGTGTGGAGTTGGTCCAAAAAATTTTTAAATTCGTTTCTCTGATATTCGATTTCCCTCTTAATTCTCTCCCTCCTAAACAACAAGTTTCACCCAGAGAAAAACAAGCAATCCCAATATTTAAAAAAAAACAACAACAAAAGATAACGCGCATAAAACCAAGCATTTGTAGTTTGTAGAAAAATTTAGAATTTTTTTTATAAAAAAAAGAATATAACAACAATAACAAAAAAATTAACAGCAACCAAAATGATGCCAACAAAAACCAGATAACCACAATGCTTATGTCAAACAATAAAATCAAAATAACGAAAATAAAAAACAAACTCCTCATCAAAAGTAGTTGGGTGCCTATATGAAAAATATTAAAACAAAAAAAAATATTTATATATAGTTCTAAATTTATAAAAAAAAAAAATAAAATTGTGGAGAAAAATATGTGAATTTCGCCACACAACGGTTTACAACAATAAGAAAATTAACAATAATTAGCAATATAAATTATATAAATTTTAAAAGGCGAAATTACAGCTAATAGAAGAAAAAATTATGGGGCAAAAAAATTAAAACACTGTGCTGCAGAAAAATTTCCAACAGGAGGTCGAAATAGAAGGCCGAGTAAAAAAAATGAATTTAAAAACTTCAAAATTTTTGATAAAAATTTGAATTAAATAGAGCTCCCCAAAATATGCCTTTTTTGCAAGAAAACTTTTTTCTTTATTTTTTTTTTTTTTTTTGTGAATAAAAATATTTTGTGATTTTCTAAAAAATAATAGCCAGATGAAATTAAAAATTTCTCCAAAGTGGATTTTTTAAAACTTCAAAACAAAAAAATATTACATATTGGTGACCAAAACCTGAGATTCCATGGTCAAATACAAACCCCCTAAAGTAGGCAATATTTTAGAGAAGTAATTTTTTTTTTGAAAAAAAATTAAGAAAACTTACATTTTCAATTGTTTTACATTTCTTAACAAATAAATAAATAAAGCTCCCTAAAGTTAGCATTTTTCCAAGAAAACTTTTTTGAAAAATATTCCAAAAAATTTTTATTTGTTTTTTGGAAAAAAAATTTATAGATTTTCAAAAAAATTATAACCAGATGAAATTTAAAATCTCTCCAAAGAAATTC